GCGGGCACTGCCCTTGACGACAGGGTGCCTCCTGCAGCCCCATGTTTTTCACGTGGCTGCTGGAGGGCCCGCAGAGGTCGCCGTTGAGGCGCCTCGGACGGTCCCCGTGCTCCCCTGCACAGAACACCCTGCTGACTTGTGGCTTCCTTCTGTTTGCCTCGCAGATCCAGGAGGCCGCCAGCCAGGGCCTGAAATTCGTCGGTGTCATTCCTCAGTTCCATTCCCCCGGGAGCTCAGCGGGCAGCAGCCCCCTGGTGCCAACTGCCGACAGCACCTCGGATCCGAGGAGTGGGAGAAACTCGCTGGGCCGGTGTGGGGACCGCACCTCGCTGGAGCATGAGAGCCCCAGGGCTGCAGACACGCGCGGCACTTGGGCAGGGACTGACAGAAGCCCAGTGCCTGGCTTACACTCGGAGGGAGATGGTGGAGAATTTCTATCACAGATGAGTGGGCCGCTGGATGGACCGGGCGGAGACCCGTTGGAAGGGCATGGAGAGCCACTCTTGGGAAGTAAGTACACCGGACCCTCTCGAAGGGAGACTGACCATTTTTCATGAGTCCCGCCCTGTGCACCACCTGTGGAGTCACAATGCTTCTGTCAGGGAAGGTCTGCGTGCTGCTACCATAGTGACAGGTGTCCGGAGCGCTTTCAGACTAAAGACAGACAAAGAAGAAAGGCCTCGGGGGCTAGTTCTAAAATCAGCCAATGAAAACCTCGTGGATCACGATGGTGGTTCGGCCCTAAAGTTATCTTGGGACAAACTCAGGATGAGGCAGCCGTTTGCTCCATTAGGTACAGGGTCACTGAGAGTCAGGGTCAGACTGTCGGCCAGCTGACCCCAGCACTAACAGTGGAACCGTTTTCAGGTCCCAAAAGTAGAGTTAGATGTAGCCACAGCAGTCCATCCAACAGAAGAAACCTTGAGGAAGCAGGTTTCTGGGCCATCCCACTGGGATCTCCCTGACATCCTGACTGGTGGGGAGAGTGGAGCGGCAGGGAGCCGGCTTGTCGTTGCTCTAAGCTGGCGTGTTCGAAGCAGGTTTTAGGTCATTAGTGACTGTCCCTCCTGCCCTGGCGTCACCCTGGAATTGCCTGCTCTGACACAGGAAGCGTGGATGTGCACCGGTGCAGGAGCTTTGACCCCTTTTGATGAGCTCATTTTGAATGTCTGCTTAAAGCGAGACACCAGGAAAAGCAAGCGGGGGCCAAATGGGGCAGGAAACGGGTGATTCAACTCAGATGTAACAAGCGGACTCCAGGGCACTTGTGGTGGCCACCTCGGCGCTGTGGAGAGAACACGCTTCCAGGGGCGGGGTGGCTGGGTGTGCGCCCTCTTCGCCCGGCTGTGACGGCCTTGAGAAGTTGGGAATTTCATAGACGAAGACCACAAGCACAGTAATAATGGGCAGTATTGGTAGGCCCTTCCTGTGCACAGGGTCTGTGCTCACCGACATTTCACACGACTTGGTCTCTTTCCAGTTTCCCTCTGACTCTGTGACGTGATCTTGGTTCGCTAGTGCTGGTAGGACAGAAATGCACGTGGATGGCTTTGACCAGCAGGTTCTCTCCGCTGAGGAGGCTAGACGCCTGCGTTCCGAGCGCCAGCCCTAGAGCAAAGGCTTTCTCTCGGGGTTGGCTCTGGGGGCAGGTCTTTGTCGCCTTCCGGCATCTGGGAGCCCAGCACTTCTTGGAGCTCTCCATGCGTCTTGCCCTCAGGCCTCCCCTGGGTCTAGGAGCTTCTCAGCACAGAGACTCCAGGTCCAAAGGGCTCACTGCCCTCCTGGCCCTTCTTGATCGGTGGCATTCCATCCCCTCCCTGTTTGCTTGCTTCTCTCCCTTTTACTCTCGTGCAACTTAACACGGCGATGCAGGGAAACCCCCCTTACATGGGATCAGGGCTCTGACCTGACAGAGGGTGTCCGACGTATCCCACCCTAATCCCCTAATCACGAATGGGATGATCACATCACAAGGGGACATGACATCATCTGAGAAACATGGGCCAGTCATGTGACACGCATTTTGAAGTCATGTGACACATATTTCGAGAGGCCGCCATTCAATCTGCAACAGATATACCATATATACTCGAGTATAAGCAGAGCTTTTTCATCTCGTTTCTAAAAAATCATTTTATTGGGGGCTTGTACAACTCTTATCATAATCCATCCATCCATCCATCCATCCATCCATCCATCCATCCATCCATCCATCGTGTCAAGCACATTTGTACGTGTTGCCCTCATCATTCTCAAACATTTTCTTTCTACTTAAACCCTTGGTATCAGCTCCTCATTTTTCCCCTCCCTCCCAGCACCCCTCCCTCATGAACCCTTGATAATTTATAAATTATTATTATTTTGCCATGTCTTACACTGTCCGATGTCTCCCTTCATCCACTTTTCTGTTGTCCGTCCCCCAGGGAGAGGGTTATATGTAGATCCTTGTGATCAGTTCCCCCTTTCTACCACAAATTCCTTACATTCTCCTGGTATTGCTACTCTCACCACTGGTCTTGAGGGATTCATCTGTCCTGGATTCCCTGTGTTTCCAGTTCCTATCTGTACCAGTGTACATCCTCTGGTCTAGCTAGGTTTGTAAGGTAGAATTGGGGTCATGATAGTGGTAGGGGGAAGCATTAAAGAACTAGAGGAAAGTCGTGTGTTTCATCGTTGCTACCCTGCACCCTGACTGGCTCATCTCCTCCCCGAGACTCTTCTGTAAGGGGGTGTCCAGTTGCCTAGATAGGCTTTGGGTCCATACTCTGCACTCCCCTTCATTCACAAGTATATGATTTTTTGTTCTTTGATGCCTAATACCTGATCCCATCGACACCTCATGACCACACAGGCTGGTGTGCTTCTTCCATGTGGGCTTTGTTGCTTCCCAGCTAGATGGCTGCTTGTTTACCTTCAAGTCTTTAAGACCCCTGATGCTATACTTTTTGTTAACTGGGCACATCAGCTTTCTTCACCACATTTGCTTATGCACCTGCTTTGTCTTCAGCAATCATGTCGGAAGTCAGCACATTTTTATGCTGAAAAAGCCCCCCAGGTTTTTGTGGTAAGATTAGGTGCCTTGGCTTATACTTGAGTTATATACTCAAATCGTGCAGAGGTGGGGAGCCCCGTTGTCAGGAACTCAAACTCCAGGTTCACCCTCCAGGTGGTCCTGAGCAAACAGCTGCCTACCTGCCTGAACCCGTCTCTTGTCCCGAGGAACAGAGAAATACACAGTAGGTGTATTTCTATCATCACTCCCCTGTTGACAGCTGTATACACTGAGGTGTAGAGAGCAAGTCTGTGACCCAAGGTAAAGATGAACCCAAGAAGCCTTAACCACTCCTGGCCCTCGGCTAGGCTTTGTAACAAGACTGACCAGAGCCTCCGTTTCCGGGCAGTCGGGTTTCTCTGGATTGCTCCGTGTTACCCCTTTTCCTTCTTGGCCTTGGAAAGCAAGAGTCTGGCTGCTTCCTGTGGAGCAGGTACTAACATTAGCTCTGTGGCCTTTTTCTAGCCTTTGGAAGGTGAGTAAGTATCAAGACTGACAATAGTTCTTTCTAGGTCATCTCTCTAGTTTGTGTTGTTATTAGTAATTCTTGATACCAACCTCCTGCAAACAATTCATAGCTCAAGAATAGAAAAGAAGGGACATCGTTTCATTAGCACGAAGCATCCCTGGGGGTGCAGATGGTTAAGCCCCCGACTGTGGGCCCGGGAGGGAGTTGATGGCGTGAGCGCCGTGGAGCAGTTCTGCTCGGGAAGCATGGGTCAGCAGGAGTCTGAGTCGACCCCACGGCAAACTAGCGACAGTACCCGGAAGACAGTGGTGGGAGGGCTGATAGTCGGTGCTTCTTGTCAAATTTGATCCAGAGGGAGACGTTAGAGTGGCTTCCGTTCTGGAACACATTTTAATACTCTTGTTTAATGAACCCTGGCATCTTTCTCTCTCCTCGAACCCCACAGGGCCTTCAAGGGTGCTGTTGGGTACACGTTGGACTGCTAACCTTCAAG